AAAAACATAAAGAAAAAATGGAATAAGTGAACATATCAAATGATCGAAATATTAAAGAAAGAAGATTATGTTAGAATTGTTTTTAGAATGGATTAAAATTGCCAGAATTTTTGATATAAGATTTGATGAAATTTTTTGAGCCTAAAATTAGCTTTGAAACAAGAAGTTATAATTATAATAAATAAATATAAAGTCTTTTTAATTAAATACTGTCTTAAAAAACATTAAAAACTTATACAATTATTTCAATTTAGAATTTTAAGAAAGAATAGAAATAATTGATAGAATTGCTGGATCTTAATTAGATAATCCTGATTGCTTAAATATTAAGGATAAAAATTAAATAAAGACTTAACATATATTTCTTAAATGGAACCATTAAAAAGTTTAAGGGAAAATTAATGAAGTAAAATGTATAATTTCAAATAACAATAAATATCGAAAATTTTAATAAAGGAAATATTAAAATGCAATACTCAATTCAGCAATAAAATTTTAAATGCAATTTATTAAATAAAATATAATAATCTGAACTATGCTAAGCTTTAAGCTTTAATTGAAATAATAAATTAATAGCAACAGCAAAAAAGAATGTAATTGTTATATGAAGTTTTTAATAAGTTAAATGAATCGTATTACAGATTTAGAGGAATATGATTAGGAAATAAGCCGTCATTTAATTGATAAGGATTCTGATAAATTAATTTCTAGTGATGGAGATAGTGATTGCCTAATTATCCTTTGGGAGTATCTTGGAAATAATAACTGGAAGCATTTAACTAGAATTTCAAATGATGTAGGAATTAAAGTTCTGGTTTTTGATTCAGTCAGAAATTTATTAATTGCTGGATGTTAAAAAGGCAAAATTAAAATTTTTACTTATTATCTAAAAATACCTTTCATTTAATATGAATAAGAATTTAAGAATCAAAAAAAGTAATTTTTGGAATCAGCCTTAATGATTCTTAATAAAAATTACTATCATGTGGAGCAGATATGTAATTAAGAGTTTTTTCATTTGATCCATAATTATAATTCGAATGTTGTAATTCTGCAGGAATGAGTATTTAATTTATTGATGATTCATCATTTGTATTAATTTAATAGAATGGGTAGTTGATTTATTATAAAATTGAATGGAAAACTTTAAAAGAAATATAAAAATAACTTTATCTTCAGAAATTCATGATTATAAATACTCCAGCATATATTATTATAATTTGTCAAATCGACTCTTAGTTATTAAAAATTTCAGAAAATATATGTTTTAAGAAGATTAAATAATTGAATTTTTGAGATGATATTTTCCAAAGAATATGAATCTAACTTTCTATAATCTTATGTATCTAATGATAGAAAGTACTTAGTCACTTGGAAAGATAAAGGAAAAAAATTAAAAAATGTAGGAAGATTTAATTGTAAAATATCAAATATATGAATTATAATATAAATTAGATTGATTAAAATCAAATATTCATGATAATATAATTAAGTAATATATTTTTATAAAATATTGTACCCAAGCTATTAATGTTGACGATGTTGTTGACATGGTAAATCATAGAAACATATTGTAATTATATCTATCACTTCTTCTGGTTTAGTCTTTCAATGTTAAGACTCAACATAATAAATAATGTAAAGGACAAATTTTCCATTAATTTCTAAAAACAATTTTCTAAAATCTATTTTTAATATTTTATTAACTAATCTCTCAATAATTACATTTTTGCGCATTTTTGTAACCATTAATAGTTTTAAAATGATTGTCTTTTAATTTAAAAATATTGAGTGATTCTTTATTTGCATTATTCCTAATTTCTGAAATATTTATAAATAATTCCAATTTTCACTTTCTTCTTGTAAAATTAACTTCTTCTTGTAAAATTAACAAAAAATTTTCATACGAAATTTCTCTTTATTTAATAATTAAAATTTCTATTTTAACTCTCTCGAACATTATTCCAAATAAATATTGAATAATCAAGGGATATCGATAAACCCTAAGCAATATATATTGTAAACCTGTTATTTTATCTTCTTCAAAAAGGGTCTTGATATTATACATCATTATGAAGAGTTTTTAAAAAGGATATTTCATTTTCTTCTAATACTTTTAAATTTCCAATCATCTAATAAAGTTTATTTCTATAAATTGTATTATATGTACTTTAGTTATTAATAATAAGAAGATGTACTTTATCCTTTTTTTATATGTGGTTATAAATTTGAAGATTCTATTAATACGTATTCCTTCCGCAAATGAATCAACCTTCATAATTATTAAAATTTTTTTTTTATATTTGTTCAACTTATCAATAAACTCAAGAAATTAAATGAGAAATTAGAACAACTATAGATCTAAATTGTTTTTCACTAAGGATTTTTGGATAAACTTTATTGAGAAGAATAATACTAGCTTCACAAAAATATATACTGTATTCTTAAAAAAAGTCTTTTCATCTATTAGTTTATAAAAATTTCTTTACTTTTTGAATATCTTAAGAATTTATTCTTAATACGATCTTAACAATAGTTTTATTTATTAAATCTTGAATTCTTTAAGGGGCTGTGGGGCAAATAATTTAAAACTTTAATATGGTTATCTATTGAATAAGATGCTTAATTATTCCAAACAATCTTTAATACTCTTTTGTCAGATTAAGGAACGATATTAATATATCAAATTTAGGTATAAAATAACGCCTGAGATACCAATATTCCTTACTCAATAAATAATAAAACTTCTTTAACAAATAAATAAAATTTGTAGCTTCCAAAACTGGAGCTTATGGACCCAATTTTATACTCTGCAAACAAAAACAGCATTCATTTAATGAAATAGAATAATCATATCTACTCGATAATATACAGAAAGAGAACATGGACTTATTAAGAGAAGTCTATAAGATAGGCATAACTTAATTGAACTTGAGAATCTGCCATCATAAATTTATTACATTAATTTTCTGTATAATTATTACCAAAGGACTATGTTTATAATTACAATTTTCAATACAATATTATTTTATTTCCATGCATAAATAATTTTCTATCTTATTAATACTCACTAATAAAATAACTAAAAGATGATATTTAATTTAATAATTATTGATTATTTTATTTATCAGATAAATTGATTATTTACTATAACTAAGTTAAATCTTAATGAAAAAGCAATTATATAATAGATCATGAGTATCATGTATTTATTAGAATGATTAATTCGAAGAATTATTTTCTAATTTTCATAATAAAATTCAATTAGAAATATTGGTGGAATTTTTAATGTTGTACATATATCTAAGCATTCTTTAATAAAGAATATAATTTATTCTTAAGTAGTCTTTGCTTATTAAAATATCTTAATATATATATATGAATATATTTTTTGTATATCATTAATTAAATAATTTAATGAAATTTTAACATTTTTGGCTGTTTATAGCTATTTTGAAATAATGTTTAAGTGATGTCACAATTCCTTAAACTTAGAAATATAACTTCCCTTTGGAAATTCGAAATTCAAATACAATATATTTGAAAGATTATACTTTCAAGATCGTTGAAGCTCCATTCTACAAATTATTAAGTTCAAGCGAATTCAACTTAAAAATTGATTAAGCAATATCTCAAATTTTTTAGATGAATTCAAGTAGCATTGATTATTCATCAATAAGAATTGGAAGTAATTATGTTTCCCTTTCTGGAGTTAACACTAACATTTGCTGGGTTTTAACTTAAAATAATAAACTTTACAAGGGATTAATAAAAAGAAATGGAGAATTATATATGAATTTTTTGGATATTACAATTTAAAAATGTAATATATATTTTTTTATTGTTTTTAGATTATTTCTAAATAAACTTAATAACAAATGATTTTGGAATGCTTAGTAGCTTAGAAGATGGTGAATTATAATTTACATTGTTAAATTCAACAAGCTTAGAATTGACAGATATTGTCATAAATTATTAGATAGAATCCTAATTTTATAACCCTATAGTTTATATCTTATCTATAAATAATACATAATTTACATTTTGTTTGATATACACAACACCAAAAAATGCTCATATTGTTTATTTTACTTATAATTAAGATGATATAGAATAAACATCTGAATTAATATTTGATGGATCATATTCAAATGCTTTCTTATCTGATTATTAGAATTACCTTTTTTTGATAAATTCTGAACATGTTTATTTAGTTGATTTAGTTTAAAATAGTAGTATACAAGAAATATTTAATGCAAATATTTAAACTTAAGAAGATCCTTAACCCATATCATATTTTTCAACTTTTCAAATTAGTAATAACTTGTTTCACATAATAGTTTTATAATAATAAATACTTAGATCTTTTTTTATAGATACTAATTATATTAATATATAGGCCTAATCAATTTCATATATTTTGAATGAGTATTAAAAAATAAACAAAATTGAATTGACTTTGGATAATATATTCATTGTTACAGACACATTCATTATAGACTTGGAATTAAAGGAGTCCATTAAAGCTACAGGTTATTAACTAATATAATCTGGAACATATGCATTATTTTATTTATTGAGGAATATTATTGTTGTTTAAGAATTCTTTAATGATTAAACCATAATTTCTACTTACTTAATTAATGAACCTTCAATATTTATTTCTTAAGATATTGCTGAATAATTAGAAAGGATGGTTTTACCTGTAAAACTGGATATATAAGTAATGTCTTAATTAAATAATAAATTTATGGAATATGCTTTTTAAATCTAATTGGTTCAATTAGATGTTACAGAAAATTAGTAACCTATCTAATTTCATTAATATATAGATGATTTAATTTTAATATTTCCTTAAGACAAAGTTATAGATAGAAGTCAAGTATTTTTAGGTCCAAATTTAACATTATCGATTTCAACTAGTAATTCTGATTATCTTTACGCAGGTATTGAAGGAACTAGGTTTGGAGAATTTACAATATATGATGCAACTTATTCAATAGCATGTTCATTTTCAAGATAATCATAATTATATTGTACTTAATATATTAATAATACAATTGTTCTAACAATAGAAAATCCAGCACGTTCATAAGAAAGATTCAATATTGAGACTTATTTAAATTTATAGAAGTGTTCATGCATCAAAACTGCATAAAATATCAATGTTCTTATGTAGTTTTAAAATAGTGTATTAGTACAATAATTTGATCATTCTTTGCAAGCAACTAAACTAATTACAATACCATTTTAAATGGATATCCTCAGTGCTGAAATTTTAAAAGATGTCTTATTTGCTATTACTATAGATGGTAAATTGATTGCCACAGATATATTAGAAAAAAAGTAATTATTTACAATTTCAAATTATAATTTCAAAGAAATTTACATAAATCCATATGATTTCCCACATTATTTATTTATAGATAATCTAGATGAATTAATTATTTTGGCATATAATGGAAAATAATCATATGAATTTATTAATTCTATTCAATATCCTATTCAAAACTATTAAAATAATGCTATTGGTATATTAAGTAATGGAATATATCTTGCTTTTTGTAAAGACAATAAAAATTTTATCTATTTCTATCAAAAAATCAATATTTACCTTTAAAATAGTCAATAAAATTATTTTGATGTATATATAGAGGGATACAAAATTTATTAAAATCCTAAAATAATAAGTACTTATACATCTACTAATTTCTACTTAATCTTTGATCAGCAACGATATTTTTAATTAATCCAATTTTCTGGAACTGGAACATCTTATACAGCCTTAAGGAGTTCTAAACTTTCTATTTTATAAGGACTTCAGATCAATTAATTGAGTTCTATTCTAAAATAATAACCAGGCTATTAAGTATAAATAGTTTATTTATTCACAAATGTTGAATACTCCATAAATCATCCATATTTATCATACGATTATATGTTAGCCCCACGTTATTAGGAAAATGACTATATTGGAAAAAAACATTATTTAATGTTCAGGGCACATAATTAAAATTTTACTTCATATTATAAACAATATTTTTCAATAATTTATGAAAACTATTTATTACTACCTCGAAATTTGCATCATAAATAAACTTATTACATATAGAATAAAGGGGAAATTAAAATTAATCCTAGAACTCTTTTTTATGGAAACATTTAAAATTATACAGCAAATTGCGATTAATGCAAATCCTTGAATATTACATAACCTATTACTTTTAGCAATTCATAATCTATAAATATTTCTGTTGAAAATATCTTGAATTCTAATGATTTAGTCTATTTAACAGATTAATAAAATAACTTATATTAATTTTATCCTGAAACTAATCAGTTATCAATGCTATATAATTTATCAGATTAAGGCCATTAACAATGCAATTTTCTTTTTATCGAGATGCAAAATTCTTTTCCTGTGCAAATTTGTACTGGAAAATCAACTATAATATACGCTTATAACATATCTTCAAATTAAATAATCAAACATAATTTGATTGAAGTATGCTGTTTTTATTACTCAAGTTATCAAAATGGTATGTTAACAGTATTTTCTAGTGGTAAATTTTAAGGCTTAGATTATTTTGTTTTTTATTTTTGGATTTCCAATAATGAAATTAATCTCAAGTAAATTTTCAATTCTAATGGAGTATGTCATTATTGTTTGATAAGTCCTCTTTATTTAAGTATGTCATAAAATTTTACTAATTAACCTTGTTAAATATTTGGACTTATATCAACTTCAATCGATGGTACAGGTAATAATTAAATTTTTCTTTTAAAACATTGCATCTCTTCAACAATGAGTTAAATTTTTGGTTTTGAACCTAATTAAACTATTACATCTGGGAATATTTATTTTTAAAGTTCTACTTGGTATTTAATTTAAACAGAACTTATTAGTTTTGCGTTTAGTTAAATTACTTAATAATTTGGATCCCCAGAATAAATTTCTGATAATGTTATTTAAGTCAGATTAATAGTTACATATTTTAATGTTGTTGAGTTGTATATGGCTTTATTTAATTAAACAACAGGTAATCTCATTAGTTTTGTTTTGGATTAAGGTTTTGATATAGACTTTAACGAAACTGTAGCATCTTTTCAAGTAAGTTAAGGATCAAATGGCTTGTTAATGATAGAAAGTTTTTCAAAAAAGAATACATTCACTCCTCAAATCTATACATATGAAGCACATAAATTTGAAATACAATACTAAACAAAAAAATTAAATAGAATGATAGGATTCGAAATAATATAAGCTCAGTCTTCCGAAGTATATTGTGTATTATCTGGTAATTATTTTGCTATTAGAAATAAAACGAATTCATAATTATATTATGTTTAGAATTATCTTACTCTTTCTGTTGATTTAACTGGTATTGAAAATACATCTATTGAAATTACAAGCTATAATCCATAAAATTAAATAAATTAATCAGTATTTATTTAGAATCTATATTATCAAAACAATAGTAATAATAATGAAACACCTATAAATAATAATACAAATATTCCTGATAATCCAATTATTCCTGATAATCCAAATATTCCTGATAATCCTAATATTCCTGATAATCCAAATTCAACAGACTCAGATGTTCAAGAAAGTTCACATCATATAACATTAATTATACTCTACTGTTGCATGATTATTTTGTTATTTATTGTTTTTTTAGCACCTAAATGTTGTTACAAACTAAAAAAGGCATATAAGGCACCTTCTTTTAATTTTGAACTAATTGAGAAGTGAATTATATATAATTATAAAATTAAAAGAATTATAATAAGCTTCTGAAATGAAAAATATATTTAAGCATTATAATTTTTAGATATTATTAGATAAAAAAAGTTGAACTTATATGGATTAATTAGTCTATGTTCTCATTCTTTAGAAATATAACATTCACAAAAATAAATTTCATCAAAATCTAACATTAATTTATAATTTTTACACAATACGTTCCAGAAATATTAACTGAAAATTAGCCATAACTTATCGAATAACTAAAATCATAAGTTAAAAATTAGAACTTTATGACATAATACAATTTTTCAAGAAATGTGCTTTAACAATTATCAACTCATTCCAAATTTATTCTCAGTATTTACCTTATTCTTCTTTATAATTAAAACAATCATCAGCATAAATGCATGAATTACCTAGTCAATTTATAGAAAAGTTAGAATTTATGGTTTAGCAATGCCCATAAGTTAATTCGTAAATGTTAATTTAATAATCATATAAATTCAATATTTCACAAGTTAAACTATCTTTCACAACTCCAACCTTAGAAAGTACTTTTTGACCATATTGTAAAATCTAAAACACATTCTAGTCCAAAAAATTTCAACAATCATATTAAGTAAACTAGTAATTAGAATTTAAGATTAGTTGTTATATCAGAATAAAGCCCATAAAAATATGAGGTCTAATGCTTTTGTTATTAATATGAACTTTATTGTTTCATACATCCTGAAAGATGAAAATTAACTAAATATCCAACCATATCATGACTGTCGATAATCAAATGTCAAGCTGAAAAATTATGGAACTTTTAATTAACATTAGCTATTCCACCTAAAAATATTCTTAATTATTAAGAAACTTTCTTCAACCATTAAGTACATGAATGGAGCATTATCTAAAATTCAATATTTGCACCTATATTTCATCTGTAGATCCAGTACATTTCTCCATTTACTTTTTAATTAATCATATCCAATATATGATGGAATAAATATCTTATATTATGGCTTGCTCCAAAATTTTTATTTTCTAAATAACCTTTTTCATTTTTTATACAAGTATCGAAGTATTCTAAATAATGTTGATTTGTTTTATATCTATTCAAGGAATTCTAGCTTACATATTAATCCATTATTTTCTTGTTCAAAATCAATCATTTCCAATAGCATCTATCTAACAATCTGCCTGTATTTATAAGTTTAACATAATAATCTTTGAAAACTTTCACAATTATATTTTGTTTTAGAATATGAAAGGAAATCTCGAAATTCTTTATATATTATTAAGGCCTTTGGAACTTTTTCGAATATTGTTCCTAAATATTTTCCCTCTTAATAAAAACAAATTTGGTTATTGGATATTTTTTTATTAGAGACATAATGTATTTTATCATCTTAATCCTAACAATTATTTCTTTCTCTTAACAGATCCTCCTTCAATCTAAGCTGTAAATTTTTTAATTCTAGCTCTAAATTAAGAATAAGAGTCTAATATTTAAGGCAACTTTTAACATTCATCAGCATCTTTGCTCAAGTTACATTCCAATAAAAATGTTAACCTATTGAATTATTAATAATTTCTATTGAATTTATATAGCTTTAACAATCACTTTATTAAAAATATGAAATGCTATCATAAATCATTAGGTGCTTTGTTCTTACATACCACTATAGTAACCCTTGTTAGGAATTCTTCATATTGATGTGCTGAGTTTCAGAATAAATTTTGACTAGGCTTTGAATATTAAACAAAATTCCATCTCCTTGATTGAACTAAGAAGCTCCTAATATCTAGTTTTTACACATAATCATTAATTCAAATTATAATGATTCTTCTCACTAATACTTTTCCAAAATGTCCTTCTTCAAAATAAATTTAAAAAAGTAAGATCAACTCATTATAAAAAAATTCTGTAAATATTAATGATTTAAAGTTTGTTAAATAAAATAAAGACTATTTTAGTCTTATTCGAAAATAATCATCCATAATCTTATAATATAATTTTATTGGATTGATAATGATAATAAAAATGCTGTAAGATCTAACAAATCTATTAGTTTATTAATCGTAAGAGACCAAATTACTTTCTTCTGGGATAATGTATATCATTAAATTATAGTTATTAATGTACCTAATTATTTTTAAAGTAGCTCTGAAAATGATTTGATTCCCTAATAAAGTCTTAAGAAAGCAATTGATAATCAATTTCAGAAGTCATCTGATATTCCACAATTCTGTAGATTTTTATCTCCTTTTTCCAAATACATATTTATCAATTATTGACTCCCATTAGTATTTGCTTTAATAGTGAAATTTGAAAATTATAATAAGGAATTAGTGGCGTTAATTCAATTCATCACATATAGATAATATCGAAAGTCAATTCAAGAAACTATTAAAAGCATATATTATAGATCATACTAATATTTCAGAACTTCTAAGTATTCTTTAATAGTATTTGTTGTATTCTATTTATTTAGATTAGTTTTTGGTTCCATTATTTAATATTTAATTCCTAAAAATTTTTTAATACAATTATAATGATATTCATATATAATTTCAATATTTTTAAATTTATAGAGAGAAAAGGAGAACTTAAGAAAAAAATTTATACATTAAAATATTTAATTTCTGTAAATAAAACTAAATGGTCAAAAATTTATAAATTAATGATAATTGTTTTGGAATAAAAACAAGTTTTTTCAAAATTATCATGGTGACACCACAAAAATTAGCAATTGATATACATTTTTAATGTATAATTGTTTAGGAATAATAAATGTTTAAATGTTTATATAATCAACCAATCAAGGTTGGGTTTGGGTTTGGGTTTGGGTTTGGGTTTGGGTTTGGGTTTGGGTTGGGGTTGGGTTTGGGTTTGGGTTTGGGTTTGGGGTTGGGGTTGGGGTTGGGTTTGGGGTTGGGGTTGGGGTTGGGGTTGGGTTGG